ATTTATGGTTGTGTTTGAAATATGTGTAGACCTATTCCTGGTAACTCTGGCTTCTGCTATTTATCACACATGGTGCCTTTTTTTACTTGTGTGTCTTGTTATTCTTTTTTCTTGTGAGCAATTCATTTCTTGGAACTCTGTAAAGTCTGAGATGACAGTAGGATGCTCTAGATTAAATGTATATTTGTTTTAGAGTGGCCATATGTGAGTGCTATAAGTAAGGAATACTCTAGATTTTTAAAGTTTTTGGTAATAATAGTTTCTGAGAATTTGTTTTGAACCTGTGTGAGGCTCATCTTGTAATTCCACATTTATCTATCTTTTTTGTTTGTTTTGGTACTGGGGATTAAATCCAAGGGCCCTCTACCACTGAACTATATCCCAAGCCCTCACTATGTTGCCCAGGTTGGTCTTGAACTTGCCATTCTCCTGCCTCTGCCTCCTCAGTTGCTGGGATTCCAGGTGAGAGTCATCATAGCTGGACTATCCAAATTCTGAGCAATTTTTTTTAACCTCTTCTATTCTATGCTAAGAGTCAAGGCTATTTATTGTCTTTTTAGACCTCAGGGATGGAAAAAAGTAGATTTATTTCCAAGTCATTCTTGCACTGAATGTTTAGAACTTTGATGTCTCAGGTGTTTTTGAGGTGAGAATAAATATATTCTGATAAATAAGTATTTGATAAATAAAAGTTGATCTTAGCACATTTACAGTTATGTGTATTCAAATCTAATTTTTTTTATTGTACTAGGAATTGAATGCAAGGGTACTCTACCACTGAGCTAATCCCCAGTTCTTTTCATTGATTTTTAAAAATTTTAAATGTAAACTTAATTTTTTTTTTTTTTGTAGATGGACACATATGCTAGGTGAGTGCTCTGTCACTGAGCTACACTCTAGACCCTCCTTTTATTTATTTATTTGTGTGTGTGTGCGGGGGGCACTGGGGATTGAACCCAGGGCCTTATGCATGCAAGGCCCTGTAGATATACCTCAGTTGGTAGAGGTATATCCTCAGCTCCCCTTTTTATTCTTTGTTTTGAGACAGAGTCTCACTAAATTGCTCAGTTTGACCTCTAACTTGTAATCTTCCTGCTTCAGCCTCCTGCATAACTGGGATGATAGCCACGTGCCTCTGTGGCTGGCAAGCCTTCATAATGTTTAATTTTTTTCTGATTTCATGAAATTGTTCTTGTCTATAATATCTCACAGGCAAAAACTCAGAAATTCTAATAGTTGTTGAAAAAGAAACCTAGAATCCTAGTTGTGGATTCAACAAAGATTTCTAACATTTCAAGTAGTTAATTGATTAAAAAAATACTAATGTCTGTTATTTAAATTCAAAACACACACAACAGGGAAAATATAATTTGCATATTCACTACCTAGCAAACTAGAAATTAAGGAACAAAATATCCTATCCCTTCTCAAAGAATCTACATCAGGGAAAGGCTTCCTACACATGATTAAGTCAGAGACCAGATAATTCTTCTTGCATTTCCTATAAAAACAGCAAAACCTCAGATAGAAGATAAAATATTCAATTAAAAGGTGTTTTCAATTAGTTCTGCTTAATGAGGAAGCGACCATTTGTTAGTTGTAACATGAACCTCAAGTGGAGGATATTTTTCTTCCTAATTTGTCCCAAACATTGTTCTGTTTTAGCTTTGAATCATATTCTGCAGCAGTGGGCTGAAATTCAATATATTGTTTTGTCCTAAACACGTAACAACTCAGAACTAGTTTTGCCCAAATTTCCACTGAGGATAGCATATATCTACCATTTTTATAGTAAGTTTGTTTACTTGGATTATGCTTGGTTGAAACAACAGAAGTGGGACTGTGTAAAATTTGTGTGTTCTCTGAATTATTGCATGCTGTCTTGCTACAATAACAATTTAAGGAGAGTATATCCCTCTTTCACGGTCTATCAGTACTTTATAACATAGAAAAGTATAAAGCAGACAGCAAAATTCCTGTCACATCTTGGTTTATGAAAAAAAGATAAATCTATAAAATTTAATAATTTTGACCCCTAAACAAGAAGCAGCTGTAGTGGAAGTAGAAAGTACACAGGACATACATTTTTGATTCTGTGTGTATTAGTTGGGAAATCTTGGGCAAGGTATTTAGTCTCTTTAAGTTCTAGTTTCTTCATATAAAACAGGAATTCTAATAACCTCCTCTTTAAATTTTTGTGTGGGCTTAAGAAGGGATAAAAATGTGAATGCACTTAGCAAACATTTATATACTACATAAAGGTTTCATTTGTTTGTGGCTTAATCCTCTTAGTTTTAACAATAGAATTTCACAGATGGAAAAACTCAGAGACATTAGGTAACTTGCCTAAGATAATATATCCAAAAATATTCTCTAGTGCACTTAACACTACCCTATGCTGTCCCCCAAAGGCTCTTTCTTGCAGGGGGCATATGCAATTATTTGCAACAGGATGTGCATGTGACATTATTGGTTATACTTGTGCCCTGGGAGTTGGGGGTAGTACAATGTGGACTATTCTGTACTTTGTTTGGCACACAGAGAAAAAGGTTAGTCCAAACTGGTTATCTATATCTGTGGATATGTATACATACATGAAAACTGCTCAGTTCTGAAAGATGGCATATATTTAATTTGGCCAAAGAAAAAAAATGAAAAAGAATCTTTCAGAAGGTAGACCAAGGGGCCACAGAGAACAGTGAGCAAAAAGAGCTTTTCAGAGACAAGAGTTTAATCAGGTAACAATCCTCAACTACAAGTAGAGGAACCCCAAAAGTTCTCTGCAGCAGGATTTCAGAATTCCTACAAACCCAAATTTGCTGTGAATTTCCCATTTCCCCCAAGAAAAGCATTTATTACAATTGTCCTGTGTCTGTACCTCTGGGTGAGAGGAGGCAGGTAATTTATATTTACTTATTTTTTTAATTTCACAGGTGCAGGTAGTATCTAGAAAAGTGGCAGCATGAGGAGCTAGGGTTGTGGCTCAGCGGTAGAGCACTTGCCTAGCGCATGCTCGAGGCCCTGGGTTCCATCCTCAGCATCACATAAAAATAAATAAATAAAACAAAGATATTGTGTCTAACTACAACTAAAACATAAATATTAAAAAAAAAAAAAAGAAAAGAAAAGTGGCAGCATGATTGGAAACTACCATACTTACCCAGAGGTCACAGATTTTGAACTTGATGCCATCTTGCACAGGATTTGGGGGCTTTCTTGCTTGTGTTTCACATCTCTGAAATAGAGTAAATCAAATACATGTGGATCAAAAAGGGAGTACCCATTAAGGGTGTTCTAAATTCCCCAGTTCTTCTTCCAGGGATCTGACAGGATTTCATTTCCCTGCCTTGAAGTTAGACATCAACAAGTAACTTGCTTTAGCCAATGAAATGTGAGTATAAATGATAGATGTCTCTTCTAGAAAAAATTCTTTAACAGCCAATACAGGACTGGGGTTATGGCTCAGTGATACAGCATTCGCCTAGCGTGTATGAGGCCCTGGGTTCCATCCTCAGCACCACATAAAAATAAGGTATTGTGTCCAACTACAACTAAAAAATAATTTTTTTTAAAAAAAGAGCCAATACATTATACAAATATTTCTATTCTTTCCTGCTGTAGTGATCACAGAAATACATGATAGAGCCCTTTGATCCTGGGTCCTTGAGTTGCTCAAATGAACAGACTCTCTTACTGACCTGGGTTTTGCATGCAGAATGAGCAAGAAATAAACATTTGCTGTAATTAAGCCTCTGAGGCAGGGAGTTGTTTCTTAGTAGGGGTAAAAGGCAACCTGTCCTTATTTATATAAGCCCAAATCTAATTAATTAATTGAAACCATTTCCAGTGTGGGTGCTCTATCAGGGGCTATTTTCACAGCCTTTTTTTGTATTCTTTTTTTATTTTGAAGCAAGGTCACACTAAGTTCCCCAGGCTAACCTCAAGCTTGCCATCCTCCTGCCTCAGCCTCCAACTCAATGGGATTACAATTGTGTGCAACCCTGGTGGCTGAGATCACTTCCTTCTTAAAGAAGCCTTACAATTAAGATCAGCCAACCTGAGATAAGATTGATAAATTGATTAGATCAATAATCTAATCTCCAATTATGTGTACTTGGTCATTTCATTATAGAATACAGCATTGAATGAAAGGTGAGATCTGTCAAAGTAGAGGACTGTGTATATATATGTGTGTATGCACATAAAATATTTCATTGTATTATGCTTTTGTTTATTTTTAAAAATACCCATCTTTTTCTTAACGCATTATTACACTTATTTATGTTTTCAATTTGTATAGAGTTGTTGCATTGCTTCTCAAGTAGGGATAAAATCAATAAAGGAGAGACTTCGATAGTCAAAGGAAGAGGAAGCATTTTTTCCATGTAGAACGTGACTTGAAGCAGAACTTGGCAATCCAGCATCATTTAACTGGCAAGAGTTTTCAGGAAGAAAAAAGTCTAGGGTTGAATCAGAAAAGAGGCCTCCCAGGGAGGCCATAAGTGACTCGTTGGTGGCAGAAAAACAGTAGAAGACAAAGGAGAGAGAAAAACACTAAAATTTTGAGGGATGCAGCACAAGTTCATTCTTTCTTTCTTTTTTTTTTTAAATGTCTCCTTTGTTATTTTAATTGAAGCATTGCTATTCATTTTTTAACTTTCTTATAAGCACCAAATTTTGATATTTAAATCCATTTTGGAGGAAAGAAATCAAACCAAGAACTTCCCTTCAGAACAAAAAAATGATGTTCATTCCTCCAAACACCAAATTTAGGTCTACCAAAACTAAAACAAAAAGAAAAAAAAAAAACAAAAAAACCCACACAGAACTAAAAAGTAACAAAAATCACATTCTAGGGTCAGTGCACTTCGCAGTCTTTGCTGTACTATCTAATTGCCCTTCAGCTGACTTTCCAAAAATAACACCCTAGCTCATCAAAATATACATTTTCCATTTGCTTTTTTAAATTAAAAATAATAATTAAAAGAAGAGAAACTTTAAGGAGTTCACAATCAATTGCCCGACTCTTTTTAATGTCATGTACAGCATTCAGAGGTCAGGAAAGCTGTTTGCAGCACACATGATTAGGGGATATTCATCTTCAAGGTTTAGCTTTCTTCCAAACAGTGTAAAATACCCACAATTCCAAGTATGAAGGGACACAGACGATCTCCTTTGAGAATTCCACCGGACAATAGAGGCGCCCGAGCTGTTCTTCATAGAGTGACAAGGCTTCAGTCAAATTAACACAGTTCCCCTGTGTAAAATATTTCCCATCCTGTTTCAATACTTTCATTGAGAGGTCAAGAATCAATCTGAGAAACTCCCATGTGGAATCTTCTTCTGGAGATGTGGAGATTGGAACAGCTGTCAAATCATTAATCACATAATCAAACTCTCTCCCTTCTTTGGTCTTCAGTACTGGAATACAGTCTTCTATTAGAACCTGATAGCAGTCTCCTTTAGGATTGTCTAAGACGTCACCACATGTTTTTCGCATATATTTCTTATATCCATCAATCACCATTTGGTCAATCTCTACCATAGTGACCATCTTTGGTTTCAGTTTGACTATTTCACATAATATACCCCCATCTCCGCCTCCTAGAATCAGCACATCTTTGCCAGTGTTATCTTCTTTGCCACTGCCCATGATAGCCTGGGTATATGCCAGATCACTCTCTGCCAGATTAACATCCCCACTGAGGATAAGAATATTTCCAAACTGCTTCGAGTGTAGAATTTTAATGTTCTGATAAGGAGAATCTTCATCATATACTACTTCATCTATGTCGTACTCAACCAGGCGTCCATCAGCAGTAGGCCAATATCTGTCAATGGCCCCTCCTTGAACTATGGGAGGTAATCGCTTCACTCGCCCAGTACTGTCCTGACTCAATTCTTTCATTCTTTCTTCTACTTTGTTCAAAAGACTGTTAATTTCTTCTTTGCCCTGTGCATCACTGTCGTAATTCTGAAGGTCCAGCAACACCAATCCATGTGGATAAATTCTCAAATTGGCAAAGCTGCCATTTTTGTTTGTGTAGGTTGCTAAATAGCCATGATCCTGCCAGGTGTGCACCGATTCTGCCATCCCCTGCTCCTGGAAAATGGACTGGAGGCCTTTTAAAATGGTCTCACCATCAGCTTTGGCGCCGAGCATGAAGTCCAGGGTGCTGTGCCTTGCTGCTGCCATAGTGAGAAGAGGCCCTGTGCCATGCCTGGGGGAGGCGGCCACAGAAGACTGGGGGGCCGCGCGGCGTGTCAGGCTGCGGGCGGCGGGGAGTGAGCTGCGCCGGGGGAGGCCAGGAGTCAAGTTCATCCTTTCCAATGTCAAAAAACATATGATTGCTTAGCTTATGATTTGCAGATTTTGTGGTAAGTAAGAGAGAGTCTGTAATTTTTAAGAAGCTTCCAGATTCTAAGGGTGGACCTAGGAATGGGTGGAAGGCATGCTATGAGGGCAGAGGTATAGTTGCCATAAAACTAATAAGAAATAAGCTTCAGGACCCCTCACTTGCATCTGTAATTTTTTTCAGAGTAGTACCACTTTAATCCTAGGAGCTTCAGGCCCATGCAACCTGTATCTGCCTCTGTTTGGCATAGCAAATTGGAACTGTAATCCTGATATTCTTCCTGCTATGAACTTCCTAAGCAGCCCAAGGGTGGGATTGGGTGGACAAAGTAATAACTGGGGGAAAATCAGTTGGTTTAGCTTGTTTTAGGAAAAATTTGAAAAAGGTACATTGTCTCCTTAATCAGTGGCTGTCTTATAGCATGTAGTACTAATATATCTTGGTTTGGGCTGGGGCCTTATTGCTAAACTCTGGGTAATGATACCAATATTTCTTTTAAAATACACGCATCAAACAAATAGGGATATTCGTAAAACAGCCTGGCTCTTGAGGACCACTGTAAGATTGCCATCTTTTTCTAGTCAAGGTTCATTCAGGGCAGGACTGAGATGCTGGAGATTGCCTTGAGTGAAGGGTATCACGAACCAAACTAGGACAAACAGCCCAAACCAGACTACTAAATCCAAATGCCCAGGTAGAACATAGAGGCAGATGTGGGAGTCTGAATCAATGGAGGACAGAAAGGAGGGTGACAGAAAGGAGCAAAGTATGGTAATGCCTTTTTCCATGTTTTTTTTTTCCTGGGACTCCCTGCCCACTTATGTGAGAAGGCTAAATTAAAAATCAGACAATATGAAGATATGACATGGAAATTGCATGCAGAGGAAGGTAAGAAATATCACAGTCATTAAATTACGCATTTCTGGTTTGAGTCAATGCAGGACCATATAAAAACCAGATAAAACAACAAAGTCAGGAAATAATTGTAGCAAGTTTTATCCCTTATCAAAAAAATATTTGATTAGTTTCTCCAGTGTGCCCAACCTGTGGTATATGTTGGGCTACAGGAATAACCATGACAAACAAGGTCTTTATATCTTAAAGATCACTTTCATCTTCTAACACAGCTCCTTCTATATTTGAAATATGATCATTTACATATTTAATGTGATTATTAGAGTATAAATATTTGAGTGAGGTTATGTCCTATTCATCCTTGTATTTATGGAAGATACTCAAGAAACATTTATTGACTGAATAAATGAATTCATTTGCAGTGAGAATAATATAGCTCATGAAATTCATCCAAAATGTACATGTTAATTTAGAATGATTAAAACCTCATGAAAGGAAGACTTATCTCATAATTCTGAAATTTAATACCAAAGAAGTATTATGATTAATGAAATTATGTAGAAAAATATCTCTAAAAGGGATATATTCAGAGATTAGTCAGGAGATTTTTTCTTTTTCTTCCTTCATGGCTATTTTTCTGTGCCAATAATTTGCTGCTAGAAGTTGTTCTTTATTTATTTTTTTTTTAAAGAGAGAGTGAGAGAGGAGAGAGAGTGAGAGAGAATTTTAATATTTATTTTTTAGTTCTCGGCGGACACAACATCTTTGTTGGTATGTGGTGCTGAGGATCGAACCTGGGCCGCACGCATGCCAGGCGAGCGCGCTACCGCTTGAGCCACATCCCCAGCCCAAGAAGCTGTTCTTTAAAATAGAATCTTTAGGTAATAGATTAAATCCAGCTGGCTTCAAATGGTAGCTGGGAGGATGAGTCACAGATGGCCCGCTATTTAGGGAATTCTGTGACCTCAATGATAACCCACTAAAATTCCTGGACTTTTCTTGTGAGAGAAATTCTGTAATTGCCTGAGAATTGTTACTTTTTAAAATATATTTTTTAGTTGTAGATGGACACAATACCTTTATTTATTTTTATTCGGTGCTAAGGATCGAACTCACTGCCTCACACGTGCAAGGCACGTGCTCTTTCACTGAGCCACAACCCCAGCCCCAAATTATTACTTTTTATTAAGATAAAATTCACATTACCTAAAATTAACCACTTAAATCCCACAATTCAGTGGCATTGAGTGCATTCACAATGTTGTACAATCATCTTCTTTTTAAAAAAAAATTTAAATGTCTTTATTTTATTTGTTTATTTTTTATGTGGTGCTAAGGATCGAACTCAGGGCCTCATAAGTGCTAGGCAAGGATCTACCGCTGAGCCACAACCCCAGCCCACAATCATCTTCTTTATCTAGTTTCAAAATGTCTTCATTACACCAAAAGGAAACTTCAGACCATTAAGCATTCATCCTGAGAATTATTTAATCTTTGATTCTAAGTACCTAGTTTATCGGCTCTGTAATAGAGAAATAACATAAAAAGAATTTTTCACTACAAAATATGAAATAGTGGCTTTAACAATAGGATTTGTAGGACCAGCCAGGAGCCAGTCTACAAACCTGAGAGTGACTCCCTCCTGACCTCTGATTCTGAACACACAGGCAGGATCTACCCTCTAGAAGGGCAACAGTTATAACTCTATGCCTCTAAGAAAGCTGTCTGGGCTGACCCTAGAAGATCAAAATATCAACTGAGTTTTGAAGCATATTTAAGGTTTTCAGACTTACGTGATTTTGAGTTACCAAAAACAGGCCATCATGAGATGTAGTAAGTGATCAAAATGAAAAACACAAATATATAAATGTATTAGAAAGTGAAAGAAAAAAAAAAAACCTCACAAACACAAACACTACACAGCAGCAGTCTTCAGGAATTACCTCTTTACAATTTTGACTCCCTTGATGAGAGCCCATTCCTTCAGTGTGTGTGCTGAGGGAATGGGCTCAAATGCCTCTGAGGTGAAAATCCATCTTCAGTAGGTAAGAGCATGGAGAAACATTTTGGCCAGAAACAAAAGCTGAGGAATCCCCAGAGGGGATCATAGACTGGCTCCTGGGATCAGTGTTCTATTTGCCATTCAGATTCTACTTCTGACTATATTCTTTTGGGGCTCATGTCTAAAATGGGTGGGGTGAGTAAAATTTGAAATTTGGAAAACGACTGAGTTAAGGAGGAGGCCATTCAACAAATATTGTGGAAAGTGCCAAGTGCCAGGCTTTTGTTACACACAGAGAATATAATGGTCACCAAGACAGATATAGTCCTCGCCCCTTCTCCCCCAAATTTTACAGTCTAAATGTAGACATTTATAACAGGACTAAAGATAGCCAGGGTGGCCCATGTCTATAATCTCATCAACTCGGGTGACTGAGGCAAGAGGATCACAAGTTCAATGCCAGCCTCAGCAACTTAATGAGACCCTAAGCAACTTAGTGAGATCCTGTCTCAAAATTTTAGAAAATTAAAAAATATAAAGGACTGGGGATGTGGCTCAGCAGTAAAGGGTCTCTGGATTCAAACCCCAATACCAATAATAAAAATTTTAAAAAATAATAAAATAAAAAGGACTACCTAAATAATAATTTATATATATATATAAATTTTTTATAGTTATAGATGAATACAATACCTTTATTTTATTTATTTTTATGTGGTGCTGAGGATCAAATCCGTGCCTCATGTGTACTAGGCAAGTGCTCTAGCACCAAGCCACAACCCCAGCCCCATAAATAATAATTATAATAAAGCTATAAGGATTAGTTCAGTAGGCAATGGCAGTGTTTAATGGGGAAATCCAGCCTGCCTGGAAGGACAAGGGAAGACTTTCCTGAGGAGATGACATTTCAGCTGAGAACTGTGGGATGAGGTGTTGGGAAGGCAAGTGGGCAGGGACAATAAGCACAGTTTGTGCAAATATTTTGAAGTTGGAGGAGCTTGAACTTGAGGTGAGTGGGCTCAAGAAAATGGCTTGGGGAAAATATATGGCTTCTTATCCTAGGTGCCGGGCTCAGCGCCCTACCAGACACCACCTCTAGCCACTGGCAAAGCAGAGTCCCTTCTAGTTGGAAGGCCGTGGAATTTAAAAAGAAATGGGGCCTTGAGGGGTTTGGTAAATGGATTAGGCAGATGTCTGGTTTTCCTTCTAGCTAAAAGCATTGGGCCATTAATATAGCCAGACCACTTGTCTAAGGCATCCATGCAATGTTGTCCCAAAGATGTGGATTTAATCCCTTCTCCAAACTCTAGAATTATTCTAGAATAATTCTGAAGTTATCAGAAACCAAAGCTAAGATTTTGGTGCCAGCAGGGCTGGCAAACTGTCTGGTTAACACTTTTGCCTCAATTCCGGGCTGCATGTGTTTTATATATCTGCACAGGAAACCCCTCACAACATTAAGTCTTCTGTTGTAGGAAAGTTGCCACCAAGTCTGTGCTTTCCCTAGCAGAAAACTCACCAGGAAGGAGCAGTGTGAACAATCATAAATCTGTCAGCTACACCAGGACCTGGTTTCCTATTAGATATTTAGGCAGAACCTTTGTGGGTGAGCACAGTACATCTAGCCATTCTTAGTTCCAGAATTGGAGCTCAAAAATTGTTAGTCTTGTCTAAAGCAGCATCCTAGCACCTGGCACAATGCATAGCATGGCAGGGAATCAAGAATTATTATCGTTATGATTTTGAGGTTGGGAGGAGAATGGAGCAGGCACTACTCCTGTCAAAGCAGTTCCTAGCTCCCCAAAGGTGAGCATTCTCTTGCAGAGTTTGCAAACACAGCAGTTAAGTCATTGATTCTCATCTTGGCCCCTCATTCATGAATTGAGCATATAATTAATACCTATTAATATCATGAATTTTATTGATTGATTTTCAACTATTATACCAACATTACATTCCTGGTGTATTCTCCTATTATGCATGACTGAATTAAGTTTGCTAACATTTTGTCTAAGATTTTTGCATCTGTCATGGAAGAGATTGGCCTGTGTTCCTTTCTTATATTGTACTTGTGAGCTTTGGTACCAGGTTAT